CACGGCTACAGTTCAACGCACTTTTCTTTTCCTAGTGTGTATACCTGTGTTAATGGATGTTCTTCGCATATATCAGCTGTTAGGATAAGTATGGGACATTCCATGGAGTTCAGTACAATACATGCCGCCTCTGGGTCCATCGCAAAATTGAACTCACCGCATAATGTAATGTTACCTCTACCTAACAATGTAAATAACATGTGACACATCATTGTACACATACATTTAAAAGTCAGCATTGTTGTTATATCACTATAGATTCGTGGTCCATTTGTCATACAGAATGCTGGTACATTTAATATCAATGGCGCATCTAACTGTTGTCTTTCACTAAATTAGTCCGTATCCCGATTGTGATTCAATTTTCACCTTGCAGAGAACATTCGTTTTTTTTTTTAATTTTTTCAAGTTATAATATAATAATAATAACATTTCTGAATATATTTTATTTTATTAAATTTATTTTCTCTTTTTAAGGTTTCGTCATCACTAACCTTTAAAAAAATACCAGCAACTAAACAAATATTAAAATAAATCATATTTGAAAAAATGGAGGAAAACAAATAAAAATGAGTCCAGAACAGGATCTTATTTTAATAGGTTTTGACGAAAATACAAAACATTGGAAGTCAGTGTTACTTTTAAACCCGGACATTACACGGAATTCTTAGTTGTACGCTTACTAATGCGTGCATTACCATCGTATTGTACAGTGTGTAATAACGGCCCAATGTCGCACGGTATATGTGTACAGTTTCCCAGAAAATACATACCCTTCTACCCAGCATTGTTTTTTAGAAATATGTCAAGAACGTACACCCTCATTAATAACCACTCATTCAGTATTAGTACATGTATATATTAAAATCACATACCATTTGTGTTTCCACCCATCACTGTTAAATCTTTCACTTTCTTTCGGAAATCGGCATCCATCCTCACTGCCATGGCAACGCTTGTGAGGGGTCCTAATGCAACTAAAGATATTTCTCCCGGATGTTGATTGACAGCTTTAACCAGAGCATTGACGCCGTGTTCGGGTTTTAGCAAGGACATGTCGGGAATTATGACATCCGGGGCATCTCCTAGAGCATCTATACCGTGCGCCGAATCTGGTATACAGTCCCCGGCATCTAGCAAGGACAATGTCGAACCTCTGAAGACGGGGATCTGTCGATCGGCACAAGAAAGAATTAAAGTTTTATTATCGGCAAAACTTAGCCAAAGACCCTTTTAATTTTGGGTAACTTAGCCAAAAATCGAATCTGAAAGTTACGGTGTTCGCAAGCTATACTGATTGAAATCTGGTGTGTTGCGCCGCTTGTCGACTATTATTAGGGGGGGACAAGGGTTATTTTCGTTCAACGTAATTGCAATATTTTTTTGTTCGTACAACGTAAATAGAAAAAATAAATTCCGTAATTCTGTAATAACAGGCTAGACGTACAACGTAATCAATCAAATATTGTTTTCGTACACTGTAAAAATGTGTAATTTTTCTCGGTACATACAAGAATTTACATCCAAATAACAAAATCGTAAAAAAAATCTAGGGAAATTACATTTCAGAAACTGTAAAACGACTAGATGACACAATTCACTACAAAATTGAATGTCCAAGACGTAAAAGACCCTCTAACGAATGAAGAGCATTACGAGTGTAATATGCGCATGCGTCTCTACACACGGCGCAGTAATGGCGGAGCATTTGAGTCGGAGAGCTCTTTGGACCATTCAATGTTCCATTTTTTAACATTATAAACTGTAAAAACGTCTTTTTTTCCCTTGTAAATTGTAAAAAGCCCTTTTATTTCCCGTAAAACTGTACCAGCTACCCCCCTTGCCTCCCCTCTTAGTAAATCGCGGCGGTCGTTGTTCAGCCTGCGTTTGATAGTTGTGTGAAGCGTCGTGTAGGACCCTTATTCGAACACGACTCGTCGAGGCGACTAGAACTAATATGATGATGCCTACATAAAAACGAACTGCTGTTTTGAGTTTATAATGTAAAAATTACTGGAAATTCCTACCTCCTCTCTACCACATGCTCTCAGAACCCTCAACGTGTTACGACAACACTGATCAACATTGGCATTGCCATTAACGCAACTGATACCCAGCACATCCACATTCGGTAGTGATAGCGCCACCATGATAGCTTCTGCGTCGTCGTTCCCGGGGTCGCAGTCAATCCACATTTGAATACGATCTGCCATTACGGTAACTTATGATAAACACGTGCGTACTATCAATCTATGGAACCACTGCGTCTCACTCAATCTGCTAATTCCGTCGTGTTGAGGTCATGGT